TTATATACTACTGGGGGAGGACGATGAGTAAGCGTATAAGAAGAGAGCATGTGACGTCCAGAGGACGCTGACTGAGCGATGAGTAACGCTGAGTAAGGGAGCATAATCGACATAAGGTCAGATAGTCCATGGCTGAGTAATGCGAGTAATCCGGACGCTGTCTAGAATAGTCCGGAACATCGTAGAACGTACCAGAATCATGTGGAGGGATGGCAGGATGCCAAGTAAGTACAGAACAAAAGAATGTACGTATATGGTAAGTAGGAAAGTCCATGCTGGCGTATGGTAGACGCACAGCCACTATCACTGCCACTCCCGGTCCGGCACAGCCGTAGACACAGAAGTTCAACACTATTACCACCGGCAAGCCGTGAGTAGCGATAGATCCCACAGCAATAGTTAGTATTACTCACGCCGGCGGCTCAGCATTACAGGTGCCGCTACCAGTTCCTGGTGGGCCGGAAGCATCCCCTCCACCTTCACCATCCGAGGACGACGATGGACTGGGCCTGTTCGATGGCCCAGGACATTACGACGCATTCCGATTAGCCCTAGAGGAGATCGCCGGGGACGCATCCGACGAGGAGGATGCACTGGCGCTGAATGACCAACACGCCACCCCACCGCAGTCTCCACGCCTACTGCAGCAGGTAGATGGCCGTGGAAGCCGCACGCCAAGTCCGGACAACGCAGCTGAAGCGGCCCCGCGTGTGGAGATACCAGATGTCTCGGAGTTGGACCACCCGGCTCTTGCTCACGCCCTTGACCTCCCCGCTCTCCCCCCATCCCTCTCTCCCCGCGTCGTTTTTGAACGATCCCATCCACTGTGGTACGTGCGGGTCATACTCCTGCTCGTTGCCTACCTCCATACACACCACCATGTCACATTCCGCGCCTCCGACCTCACACTCTCGATGTTGCGTGCTATCTTTGTTGCCCTAGGGATGCTCGACAGCCGGGATCCAATGCCCCGCACGCTCACGACGACGTTCAAACGGCTTGACTTGACCGATAAGTTCCACATCCTAATCGAGTGCTCGAGCTGCCGTCGACTATTCCGGCCCGACATTGCCAACAAGAAACTCCATTGCTTCGTCTGCAACACCCCACTATTCACGACGCCCTCTTGTGCCCTGGCACTACTCATCCGGGTCCTCCGAATGGATGCTCCTATCCCTATCCCCCGAACCATTGCGCCTCTTTGTCTGCTCTCCTCGGCCATTGCCTATCTCATGAATCAACCTGGGATCGAGACCTACTGGGAAGCTTGGACAACGCGCCCTGCCCCTCCCCCGGGCGAATACCGGTCTATACATGATGGGAGCCGCTGGAAAATACTTGTGGGGCCGGATGGAAAGCCATTCTTTGGTCCTGATATCAACGGCGAGCTGCGTGTCCCTGTCATCCTCCACGTAGACTGGTGAGTGTCATTAGCTCACTTACCTGTTCTGATTACTTATCACATCTTCACAGGTTTTCTGCCGCCTCGAGTGTGTTCAGTGCTTCGTACTCCACCGGGGCCATTTCCTTCTCCCTTCCCACCCTCCCGCCCGCCCTTCGGTATGTACTAGCCTACTGATTTAGCCCTCGAGTACTGACATGTGCTCTAGGTATCGCGTCGAGTATCTGATTCTCGCGGCCATGACAGATGGTCCCAAAGAGCCCGATGCTGAGGAGCTGCAGCACTGGATGGCGCTCATCGTTGATGACCTTCTGATGCTTTATCACTTAGGTGTATTTGCGCCAACGCCATCTTGCAGGGAAGGTACATATCTCTTCAATATCTGAGTGCCGCAACCACTACTGATGTCTCATACTTTTTTGCAGGACGGCGGTGCTGTGTTGTGGTCATCTGTGCATGCACAGATCATCCTGCGATGTGCAAGGTGGGTGGATTCGCCGACAAGAATCACCACGAGGTCCCGTGCACTGAAGGGACCGTCACCGCCGAAGACATGTACACTGACAAGTGCCTGCGCGGAGGTGCGGCGCGTACGACGTCCTTAAATCGTGTATCTATTTATTGATCTGGCTACCACAGGCTGTCCGCCTCGATCGCATGAGGAGCATGTACAGCATGCCCGCGAGTGGCGAGCACTCGCAGGTAAAGAGCGCGACGAGCACTTCAAGGAGCACGGCAGCCGCTGGGCGGAGATAATGCGGCTGCCGTACTACGACTGCGTCAAGATGACAGTCATCAACCTGATGCATAACCTGTTACTCGGTGCGACTCCGCCTCCCTCAGCCATGCGATGTATACTGATTATTTTGTAGGTGTTGTAAAGACTCAATGGTACTCGCGGTGGATCAAGCCGAACGTTCTGCGCGCCGACACGAAAGGTGGAACCAAGCGCGAGCTGGCCATGATGCATGCGTTCCTCGACACGGTATTCGTGCATCATACCCTATTCTGGCTACGTCACTGACATTTGTGTAGTTTGAGGTCCCAGGTTGGGTTGGTAGGCTCCCGTTGCGTGTTGGTGAACCTGCGGGAGGGTCCCTCTCCGCCGATGAGTACAAACACTTGATGATTGGGCCGGGGTGTATCATTGTACGTCCCTCTCCTCCTGAGTGCGCCTGTACGCTAACATTGTGATCTAGCTGCCAATCATTTGGCATCACTTCGCACCCGAGATCAAGAAGGAGCATGCCGCGGCCCTCAAGAAGCACGCCAGGCTGCAGCAGGCCTACAAGAAGGCTGTTGATAAGCACACTGCTGACATTGCTGAACTCGAGGCCAAAATAGATTCCGCTAGCGATGCGCAAGAGCCCAAGCTGTCGAAGCGGCTCGCGTCTTTGAAGGCGAACCGTCCTGAGCCACTCGCTCCGTGCCCGAAACCCCGCATGTGCGCTGAGGAGGTCCGCCTCATCCTGCAGCTCTCAACGTCTCTCAAGCTGCTGTTGGCCCCCGTGATGACTGCTCGAGACCGCGAGCGTGGGTCAACGCTACTCTATGACTACCTTGTCGGTTATAAGGAGGTGTGGTCGTCTTTCATGCACATTATCGCTTACTTACATTCATGCTTAGATATATGGAGTGGAAGCGATGGTGCCTAATCACCACTTCGCATCGCACATCCCGGCACAGCTCGACGAGTTTGCAACTGTCTACGAGATCTGGGCATTTCTCGCCGAACGCCTAAACAAGACGTTGAAGGCTACAAATCTCAACAACCGCCGTGGTGGACAGCAAGAAGTGGTCATGATGCGTGCATTCCAGCGCGACATCGCACTCCGTGCAGTGGTATGTCCACTCTTTGGCACCCCCTTGCGACTGCGACGGTGTGGGCTTGGATTGATGCCATAACTCTAGGTGGAACACGTCGCATCGACACCCAGCGCAGAAACAACGGAGGCACGCGCGACTCGCACGATTGCTCAGCGGTTCCAACACAATACTCGGGAGTCACAAGGGACGCTTGAGGTGGCAGCGGCCATGCAAGGCGATGAGCTTGATGTTCAAAACGACGGTGAGTATATCTGCTTACCATACTCGCTCCCCTGATTGCTGACGTACAACGGCAGCCCTCCTCAGCGTGTCTATGCATGCTGGGCCAAGGTCTGCACACCCACAGACCTTGGACGACGCTTTTCGAGCGTACATTCTTGGTTTCTACAACCACCCCAACGCCGCCGCGATGCGTAATGCGGACGGAACCCCGCCGCAGATATACTACCGACATGACCGCCATGCTCCGCGCAAAGCGGTCTTTCTCGATACATCTGCTCATACTCACTGGGTTCAGGACCCTGGAAGTCGACGGTCAAGTAATTAGTAGCGGGCGTGAGCCGGGCATGTAGTCGGACTTGTAACTTAATAAACGCTCGCGCCGGGACTAGCTTGGAACTGCCATGAGCGCCTGTAAACCCAGACAACGTTCCAGTGGTGGGCGGAAGGTGCGCTCCACCTTGTAAATAGACACGAGCACCGCATACAATCACACATATTCCGAAATGAAGCCCAAGAGGTGATCACGATATGAGGAGAGTGGAGGAACACGTCCATTCGAATGTATTGACAGGTGTGACAAACAAGCCCAAAGAGCGCCCGCGCCCGCGCCCCCTCGCGCGCCGCCCATCCGCTCTCGCGCACCAGCAACCCGCACCTCTCCAGCCTTGCAACGATGTCGGACGAGTGCCCCCCGGAAATCCTCAACCCAGGGGTGCGCAAGAACTGGCACTTGTTCGATGCTGAGTCGCGCGCAGGCTTCCTTCTAGACGCCAGAGGTGATCAGCGCGCAGCGTCGCGAGGCGTAGGCAACGGACGCACCAACGGACCCCACGGATCGCGGCAGTCACAGTATTACGGCCTAGGTATGCGTCCTCCGCAAGGCGACCCGTACAACACGGAAGAATACAACGCTGATGGAGAAGGAGACGGGACCAGGTGAGAGTGCATATACTCATTTCGCGCATATATGCACTTACCTTATCATTCCGTGTTCAGACAATTTCAGCGCGGTGGACGAGGGTGTCCGCCAAGCCGGTCTGCATCTGGAGGCTCCGGAGACGGCCGCAACAGAACGTGAGTACATGCATATATGCGCAGCTTGTTACTAACACACCTTTTCTGCGCAGCGACCGCCGCCGCCGCCTTTCTCCTGGTGGCACATTCGCACGCATGTTGCGCGATGGTGGTCAGCATGCCCGGGACGAGCACGGCACAACCTCAATCGACCCGGCACTTTTCCGAGCCAACCAGGAGACAGCTACGGCAGCCAAAAACCGTCAGCTCGAGGCAAGACTCGCCACGCTGGAGGCTCACCTTCCAGGAACAACACAGGCGTTGCCCGTGCCACCTTTTCAAGGGCGCGATGCTCAGGGAGCGACTGCACGCGGGCGCGGGGGTCACTGAGTGTCTCGTCGCCCTCGGGTCCCTACTCCTGTCCCTTCAGATGCCGATGAGCCCCCCGAAGGCTCTGATGACGATGCAGACGATGTGTATGCTCCGGATTTGAACACGCCGAAGGACGACTCGGATCCCCTGACGATTGTAAACACCAAGTACAAAGAGCTCAGCCCGACGCAGAAGAAAGCGATATTGAAGTGCCAGGTGAGTACTTACATCTATGGACACTCGGCGCATGCAAACTGAGACGCTGTACAGTCGGCTGTTTCGGCCTCCTTTCGCGATGTCACGGGTGTTCCCACCACAAAGCATCCGTGGCCGAAGTGGACTGGTGAGGGAGACTGGACTGGACCGGGAATGGAGATCAACCTCGAGGGCACGGTCACGCACCGTGTCAATCGTGCACTCTTCTGACGTGTCGCCGAAGTCGCCATGCAAGACTTGAAGGTGCGTACTCGTTGGTCAGTATCCTTTAGGTGCTGACGAATGATTCAGAAAGATAAATCGACCCATCAACTATGGATGAACGCACCCGATGTCAAGCTGACGCTAGGCCTTCTCATCGAGATTGCCAAGTGTACGTTCCGCGGGTTCAAGCGCCCCTATCGCGCCCAGCATGATGCCGATGCCAAGAAGCGTTTGGACGATAACGGGCGGTTCAGTCGCTGGTTGAGCCGGCGAAGACAGGTGCGTACCTTGACTCATGTCCTGCAATCCCCGGATGCTGATGTCGAGACCCCAGACCTGCCAAAACCTGATGTCAGCCGTCCCAGAGTACAAGGAGATCTATGGGGTCGACCCTACCCCACTCCTCGTTGCGGACTTGATGTCTGACGAAGCGAGCGGACCCGAGGAGGGCAGCGAGACGGTCCTCGAGTGGAAGCGCCGCATGGCAACCTTGGAGGGCCGTGTCGACGTCTCTGACGAGTTCCTTACCAAGAAGACGTACTTTGAGGTGATCACGCCGAACTGGCGATCAGATGCGGTACGTCAGGTACGGCACAAAAGATGACAATACACTCACCATGTGCGCCGCGCGCCCACGCAGCTAACAAAGATATACCACGAGCTCGCGCGGCTCTGGTACAACGCTTTGAGCGTTCGATTTGCGAACGCGATGGTAACACGCATCCGGACTTCGAAAAGGGCCACAAATGTACCACCGCCGTACACGCCCTACAACTTCGGGATCAACCAGGAGTGGTACGCCAAAAACAAGAGCGAGCCGGCTTACAAGATCTTGCTGCGCATGTGGGGTCAGTTCCCGGACCCGCCTGGGTTTGGCGCGAACACCGAGCCCGAAGCCGCTCCTGCGGAGACGATCAATGCGGCTGCGTCGACGTCTGGTTCCGTCTGATCACCTCTTCGCTGGAGGACGTCTATATCTTGGTCTCTCTAGGTCTGTCAGACTTTGCTCTCGCTGCCTGCTATGCTCGAATGGACTTTGCCCTCGGAGCTGACGTTCAGTCTCTGCCCATGTTACCTGTGACTCTGTCTGAGCCTCCGAGTTCGCCGTGCTTGCAGACGGCTCCCGTTCCGCTCCCGAACATTATAGATAAAAGCACAAATATACATATGCACTGTCGCCAATATCCGAATGGTTTCAACTGTGTACATAGATAGAGATATGCAATACACGTACCTGGCATGTCATCGAGTCTGCAACGATGGTCTCCCGTGGGCTGTACATGGATCTCAAGCACTGCTAGGGGGTGCTGCGTCGGGGTCCTCCGCCAGTGCCGCCATCGATATTGGTACCTGGCAAAGAGCACCACAACAAGTGTTAGTACAGTCCAGTCATGATGCGCCGCAGGACACACCTTGTCAAGCGTCGTTGTGATCCACAAGCGCGGCACGGTGATCTTGCACACACCGCGCGCAAGCTGGCATATAATGGCCTCAACAGGGATGATTACGGGTGGGGCACTGTTGCTCTCTCATGTGATTCGCTCCTGATATCCCCAGTATCTGATATCCAGCTCAGGGCTTCCGGTATCAGCAGGTAATAAGTTATAACACCATGTTCATACATGAATACGACTCACAATTCCTTCCAAGGATCGCCGGCGACGTTCATGGACTGCCGCGAGACCATCCAGGACATCTCTGCGAAGATCTGGGCGTGAGAGAGAAGGCTGTACATCAAAAGTTGTAACTTCTGCGCCAAATAGGGCGCGCAAAGTTGCAACTTTGCGCGCCGGCGCCTATCCTCGCTTCCGCCCCGAGCCGACCGCCTTAGGCAGCACACCATGCGTCCGCGGGCCCATCCCCCGTCCGTCGCTCCCAGCGACCCTTCCCGCCCACCCCTCTGTGCGCCTGCGCGCACATGGATGATGGCGCCCGCCCGCCCTCACTCCTTGGCGCTGGTCCATCTTGCGTCGCGCCCCCGCCTGCCAGTCCTTGCGGCCCGGTACCCGCTCTTCCGCTCTGACATGCCCGCGTGTGGATACTTGCTTCCCCCGCTTCGAGAATGCTAATCATCCGTTTAAACAACATGGCCCCTCACGCCCTTCTCTTCCTCGCCCTCTCTTGATTTCTCCACCATTGCTCCCCAAACATATCACCCACGGCCGAACGTCGAGCCCGCGACCTCCGAGCACCG